TTTTTTTTTTTTTTTTTTTTTTTTTTTTTTTAGAGAGAATTGTTTGGATGTTGGTCAAACACATTATAAAAAACAGATTTCATTTGTTTAATTTCTGTACCATTTTAATTCATAGTTAATTTTCAACAGATGACCTCTCCATAATAGTTACGTCTATATGTATTGAAAGGGTATTTATATGGAAGTGATGAAAAACTTACTCCGAGTTTGATGTAATCCATTCACATCAGGGGATATTACTCTGAATCATATTTAATAAAAGTTATTCTGAAGAGCAATTTTTTCTTTTGTTTTGGAATGAGAATTATTTTTAAAAACTGCTTTTAAAGATGGTTCCTTTACACAGTCCCCATTCAACTTACAAATCCTTTATTTGCTAAGAGACACCAAAACCCTCTAATATCAAGATACTCCCTACAACTCCAATACATGCTTAGCAATATCAAACTAAGTACTAAGCACTTCAAAGTTTTAAAGGGCTAATGGCTAATTTGAACCGTGAAGGAGTTCATAACAGAAGAGATTTACATAACATCTTAAACAAAAGATCTTGCACATACTTTGCATCACAGCCTGTAGGCGTGAAGTCCAGCTTGTGTTTAGTTCTGAAGATGAAGTTTTTGGTTCGTATCTCAAGGATGGATGGAGGCTGCAGTGGGGTAGCTACAGCAAACAAAGCCAGCTGAGGAGACAGAGTAGAACCATCCTTCCCCTTCTTGTTCTGTCCATGAAGAAATTTTAATCGCCCTTGAAAATTCATGGCCTTCACATAAGTGGAAAAAAAATATCAATGACCGGGTTACCTAAAACTTAATTCCTAAGTTTTAATAACAAAGTGCTGCTGCTTATTTCTTATTAGAAATCTACCATCTCAAACTCATTGCAACCCCTCAGTCCAACCCCCTCCCCAAATACAGCAGATGTGATGTAAAAGAAATAAATAGCAAATAACAGCTGCATCCTTCTGAATCCTAAACGCTGACAGATTCAGAAGACCTTTTGTTATTCTTGATCATACACAGCTTGCTATCTATTCATTATTATAAAATATACCATGGTAAAATCTATTTAAGTCTATTTAACATCTATAAGCAGTCCTGTAGACTGTGAGCAATCTGCTCTACCTCAAGATTCTGTTAAAAATGAAGATTATTAAACTGTTAAGAACAGCACATGATGTTTTCTGACTAGTAGCTATAATTTGGCTAACTCTTGGCAAACTCCTCTTTCATATCAAGTCACAAACAACAATAGCAACAAACTTTTATATAAGGAAAGCCCCATCATTTATAAATCAAACACAATGTCACAAAACTCTTTATTCTCAATTTATAGATAAAGAATACTGAAACACAAAATATGGAGATTCTTGCCAATATCATATAACAGCTCAGCTGCCAAGCCAGGAATAGATCCAGTACTCCCACAGCTTAGTCCGTTATCTGCTAGAGCCACAGGGGCCAACTTTTTTGGCAGGTGTGCCCCAAGTTGTGCCAGGCTTACTTCTATCCAAGTGCCACTCCAATCCGCACCCCAGGGTACAGGCTGTATCAGGTACGC